AACAGTGCTGCATTCAACATACCACATGACACACAAAAATTGATGTTTAACTGGATTTTTTTAATAGTTACTTTTAAATTAAAAATTGAGTAATGTATAATACTAAAACTTGAATTATAATGCACAGTTTGATACCAAACTTATTGACATAAATTCATGAAATAGTAGTTTTATAAAATTTTGAATGCAAGTCAACAAATGCAATGACATGGCCTTTAACCTGTGACCCATATGGATAGGGTTAAAAAAATTACTCACTAATAATTATATAGGCTTATAATGCTAAAAAACAGGTTTTGATACCCATGGTGGGCACACCATGGATAACCTACTGTGTAGCTTTGTGTTTGCCACTGAGCCAGTAAGGGGCAATTTTGAAAGAAATAACATTTTCTTCTTCAATGTATACAAGCATAATCCTCACAAAGCAAGTCTTAAAATACATAAAGATTTCTTAATAAGTATGTGACATGTTTATACAGTTTTAACTAAAAGTATATGTATACCTACCATGAGCACCTCCTCGACAGATTCGTGTTTCAATAATGACAGAATATGCTTGCCACAGTTCTTGAAGCCCAGACAAAAACATTTTGTAGAAAATTGCTCCTTCAGATAATGGAATAGTTAGTAGTTGTGTAGGACCAAAGTTTAGAAAGTTCCTCATAACTGAAGGAAGTCTTACTGTCTTGTTTCGAGAAATTTCTTTGTACCTCTCTCCAATCACATCAACCTGAAGATACAAGCAGTGATTAATAGATAAACATATTTCATCAATAATACCGATGTAAAAATTCAAGCACTAAAACCTCCTACAATCAAAAGGTTTAAGCACTAATAACTGATTATTATTACTTATATTTTGAAATATAAATAATCAGATAACATGTATAACCTCAAAAACATTGACCATATTTTAGCCAGTGAAGGGATATTTTAGTGATGCCATACTAAGCATAATATTGTAATACGCAGGTATATTATATTTTCTACCTGCTTTAGTGATACATATGAATTTTCAAAAATTTTCATTTATCTAGTTTCTATACAGTTGTGGTATAAACATGTTGTCCATAAAACTGCTGAGTTTGTCTTGTTCTACTTGCTGTGTTTCTTAGTTTTCTATAGTATATGATGTCTATTCTACCTGAGGGAATTCTGCAGTAACATCTAGCCTCTATATTGGAGGATCACAGACTAATATCATTTGCTGGCTGAAGTGATTATGCCTGTATGTTACAGCTGATGAATGCTGTGAGTCATGAGGTAACACTCTCAATTGGTAAAAAAACAATGCTTACAATGTTGAATTCAGGCAAGCTTTCTTGGTTCAGTTCTACAAGGATATTTTCTAGTAAAGATCATATTTATGATCATCAAGTTTTAGTTCTGTGACTGGCAACCAATGGAGAAAGGCTGGACATTCCATTGGTGGACAATCTCCACCAGTCAGAGTTTTTTTCTCCCAACGGGTGATACATCAGGCATCAGCTGGTAGAGACCATGAACAATGGGGCGATATACTTTTCAGGACTGAAAAAGTCCCTGCAACCTTGATGGCAGCTTGTGATATCTGGGGTTATGCAAGTCATTTGGGTGTCAGAGTCTCTGTTAGCAGCTTTTGTCTGGGCAGGGGTCCTGGGAAGGCTAGGCTTTTGCCATCTGCACAGGCCAACAGATTTCAACAATATTTGTTCAAGAGAATGGCGTAAGAGGACCTGAACATGTTCCTTCAGTGTTTCAGCAGGTAACTGCCTGAAATGGATGGACATGGGAACAGGCTGTCTAATACATGACCCTAAGTTTATGTGGTCTAGGTCTGGCCCTTGACTCTGTTGAGCATTGAACACCTGGAGGACCAGGAGACAGTCATGTACAAGCTATATAGCTGATCCAAACCAGTGGAGAAGCAGATTTTTCAGGCCATGTTCAAGACTGAGAAAAGGATCAGCAGTGACAATCTACACCAATTTCATGGGAATTGTCTTTACAAGTCAAGATAATATCCTGGTTGATAAGTTTATTGTGGCATTCAAATGCTTGAAGGAGAGAAAGATACCTGTCGTGGAAGTTGTAGTGGCCATTCCGATGTTGGATGGCATTATACAGGCACCTCCGCCTCGTCAAGTTAAAATCAACCATTTTGCCCAAACGGATAACAACCAGCTATCCACAAATTCTAGCACTGCAATGCAGCTACAATGGTCTCCAGTGAGTGTATAGGGCTTTGCAGCAAGGTCCTTAGATGGATTATGTACCACAGCAAATTCTCCTCATGGGGGTACGTGCGACAGCAAGATCCATCCACAGGGTATGTAACACAGGAAAAAATGCCCATACAGTACATGCCACTACAAGTTTTGCCCATGGAATACATGCCACAGCTAAGGTTGTTGTTTCCACTTGAACATCATCCAGGATGGAAAGAGCAAAGCATCTTCTTTCCTTGTAGACTAGTGGGGCATTGGCAAAGGAACTACCCAAGGAGCAAAGATGGCAGAGTTATCAGTTTCAGCAAATGACTTGACACATATCAGCCAATCCACAATGTCAGCACTATGCTGAGTATCAAAGTAAGCAAGGTTATTGGTACCAGCCATCAAGTCAATAGGGTGGGATGACCTGCTCCAAGTTGTGAATGCTGTGTAAAATGCTCCAGAAAACTGACAGAGCTCAAAGACAGCCTTGGCCACTGGGTTGGAGAAACACAGCAAACTGCTTGACCAAAGAGTTTAGTGGACAGACCAGTTCTGTAAGGGCTTGGTGGATAGTGATATTGCAAGAACATGACTTTTTTATAGTTCATCACCCAGACCCACAACATAGAAATGCAGATGGATTATCTCACTGCATGGTAAGACCTTGTTTCTTCATGGAATGCCCTGACCAGAATATTTTCCTGTAAGTATACTGCTAATTCTGCTGCTGCAAGCTACTGTACAGACTTTCAAATACGACTCATTTTCTACTGTGTGTGTGAAGAAGTACATTGTGCTAACTTAAACAGGTTTAAGGAGAAGGCAGCTCAGCCTTGTTTATGCAGTAAACTCTATACTTAAGCATTTGACAATTCTAGATTTGACAGAGAGTGGGTGTCATGGAACTTAAACATCTATCAAAAGTACTAATAAATCACATTCAAGAAAAATATAACTATTTGCTTTTGATAGATGGACCTGTCTATATCAGGGACAAAGGCAGAATTATAAAATGAAGTGTAAGGTGTGGGTATAAGTTGAAAAATGAGGAGCAAAGCATGAGTCTTATTGGCTTATTTGTAATAAACTGCAGAAGGCAGATATAGTGAATTGTGACCGTGTGAACCAAAACAGTTATGAATGGAAGTGTGGAAATGCTCTCAATAACAAAAATGTATCGTGTGTATAAGTGACTAGCGAAAGTACAGTGTTAAAGCACTTTTATATTCCTACTACTACAAAAGCAGTATTTTAGTTTAGGAGAAAAAAACAACTTATTCTAACAAAAGTTTTATCAGCTTTTTATTACACTTCTCTTTCTTAAAACTTGTGTTAATATATATAGTTTGTAGTTTGAATTAATTGAGATGTGTTTTACCTCAAAAAAGCAGTCTGTTGGTGAATTCAATATCCTGACTGCTAGATTTATTCTTATGTATAAAAGACAAATAACAGAAAATTCAGGGGTTCACAATGTTCTGCATCACACAGGTATTTATATGTTGCTACTGCTGTGAAATAATCTTTTTGATTTCACTTGACTGTGGGATCAGGTACATTGTAGGAACAATAACAACTTTGTGTACAGTTGTAACATATTAAAATTTTGCATTATGTCTAAACAATACAATAAACACAAAACCAAAGTAACATTTACAGTTAATGCGACACACGAACACTACAGAACTATGGAAATCATAGTGTGCTTTCATTATAATGAAAGTCTATAAATTGTAGTTTTAAATACTAAATTACAAAATTTTCTTATTAGATCTATTGTTTATAGTTATAGCTTTAAATAAATTACTCTTTATTTGTTACATTTTTAAGTTATAAAGATTGTTTTATACAAGAAGAAATAATTAACCTCTAGTGCTAAATAGAAGACACCAAAATGTAATGATTCGATTGTGACTTATGCCTAATATAAACTTGAAATACACTTTAGAGTACCATTTTATTTGATGGTGAGATTTGCACTAAAAGATGGCTGTGACCCTTCATAAGAAGATCTTTGGCAGGATACTGAATATATTTTTTCTCAGTCTTCCTTTCTCTAGACAAAATTAACTCTCCTTTGTTTGATAAGTTCTCTCCTTCTTCACTGAAATAATTAAAGTTAACTTTAAAATCACTCCAATAAAGGTAAAATATATATATTTATATGTGGCTTTGCAGATTACTGAAAACACACCTAAGATCTTTCTTTTGCTGTAGGATTTAAAAATTACCAACAATTAAAGAGAGGACATACATGTATATCAGTTCTAGAAGAAAACTAATAATTTATTAGGTCCAAATCTAATAAGACGTAAAATCACTGGAAGATTTGCTAACATTGTTTTTTTTATTTTAGCATACTATCAACATTAAAAGTGAGAAGTTTAATTATTCAGACTTTTATAGCTTTTTATGTTCTACTTCCTCAGAACCATGTTTGGTAAATTCAAAAATACTTTGTGTCTTTTGAAGCATTTTAAACACAAAGCATTTATATCATGTACATTTTGAAACACAACACAAACTTTATTAGTATTTCATTAATGGAATGTTAATCATAATGTTCCCCCAAAAAATAGCAAACAAAAGAAACACTATGATGCTCTACAGATCATTAAAAAAGATAAGACAATCAGCTTTTGTTAAAATGCCAAAATTACATTTTGTTTAATGTAAAAAAATATGTTAAAATTGTTACTCAACATAAAACTAAAGTACAAGAGAATATCATCACAAATATACATCACAAGGGAAAAAAGAAAGTCTAATAATGAAACAATATTTTAATTCCTTAAATTGTAAAACTTAACAGATTGGTAAAAGACCACTCCAAAACAGATAGAAGAAAACCTTTTGATAGAGTAATAAACTGATTTCAATTTAAAATAAAATAAAAGAATTGTTCATGTGCAGTAAAAGTAACAAATGCATTACAATTGACTTACCATAATATTGTGTCATTTCCTTTGGTCACTGCTGAACAAGCAAACACCCAATCCTCTTTAACCTATCAAATAAGTTATAATTAAATGTCAATGTATAAATATAAAGAAAAAGAAAAAGTAGTCAGGCCTTACTTTAAAAAGAAAGAGTTAATGTGTATGTATGTGTGTGTTTTTATAGCGAAGCCACATTAGGCTATCTACTGTGTCCACCGAGAGGAATCGAACCCCCTGATTTTAGCATTGTAAATCCACAGACTTACCACTATCCTACAAGCGGGAAATCCTGGGTGTCTGCAGGGGGGGGGCAAGGGGCACCCCCCAAATAAAAAGGAGAGTGAGAAACATAATTCTTACTTTATCTGTTCATCATTTGTATATGAATTTATAAGTTTTTTTTTATTCCCTTCACAGTTTCACACTATTTATTACACTTAATTCTCAATTCTAATAATAGTTGCCAGGTTTGTCAGCAACTTCACTTAAAATCTGTACATATCTACCCTGTAGCTAAACATTGGAAAACGTCACTACCACGGCAGCTTCTTGGATATTGGACATGACAATTCTCACTCAGGTTACACTTAATTTTCAATTCTAATAATAGTCGCCTGGTTTGTCAGCAACTTCACTTAAAATCTGTACATATCTACCCTGTAGCTAAACATTGGAAAACATCACTACCACGGCAGCTTCTTGGATATTGGACATGACTATTCTCACTCAGGTAATCAAAAAGACTGACATGGTCTTGCCCAAAATCCCCTGAGCCCTGACACAGTGTGTTGTTACCTGCCAGTAAAACCGGTGGGAGGATATTACACAAGTAGTCTTGTAAACATCCCATGAGGCAGCGTGATCAGGGTCAACAAAATTTAATATTATGGAGTATATATAGCTGCAAGTCTGCAGTATGGCTTAAACTAGCCTTAAAAATATTAAACCCATCAAATCTGACTGTGGAAGCTTGTCTATTGTATTGACTGTAATGGCAAAACTTTGAAGACATGTACATCATCTCTTGATTTTGACTTTGTCCACGAATACAATAATGATTTTTTTTTGTAATTCATAAATGAAAAGATATATAAAACATTAAACATTGCATAGTGTATTTCATACATAAGGGTAACTTGGAGAAAGGTTTTAGCAAATCAGTGAAGAAAGTGTACTTTTTCATTTAATCAAAATACTCATTTTTAAAGATAAAAAGCCAATCTCCCTATAAGGTCTTTAAAAGGGTATGTCAAATAAAATATGTTGCTTGCCATATAAATTTTTCAATTACATAATATACAATTCATAATTTGTATATCTCCATAAATAATAAAGCTAAAGAACTACATAATACCTAAGAAAACATAAGATTAATTAAAAAAGCTGTGACAATTTTACAAGAAACAAAGTTATCTATTTTTCACATGACTAAATGCTTCTTAATATGATGTTTTGCTCTCTTAATATTTGATAATTAGCAAAGGCTGTTTTGTTTTTATTATAAAAAAACTCCCTGCATCACTTTTTATTCTAAGGACTTTTTCATTAAGCACTTTAATACTTTGAATAAATCAAACAAAAATATACTTATAACATGGAAAAGTATTTTTCTTATTCAACATACAAAGCAGTTTATCTTAAAATATATAATGTACATGTATGTTTGCTGTAGAGTAACACACAAGATGAAACAAGCCTGAAACATTTTCTTGTGTTTTTATGAGACCTTTCTGTACTAGTTCCATTCTTGGCAAACCACCAGTACATATTTTCATACACAATACAAGCCTTCTTATCCATGTAGCATTTTCTATGCAGCTAAGAATTAAACACATTAATTTAAATAGAAGAGACATAGGGTAAGCAATTAAACATTAATTCATCAATGACAGCTTCTTCACACAGGTTCCTACTTACCAATCCATCACTAACAACAATAATTGTTTCATCTTCAAACAGTGGCAGTAAGATGAAGTTATATGACAGGACCTAAATAATACAAAAAATGATTGAGAAATCTACTAGAAAATATCCTAATATTTCCTAGAAAACTTTCATTCCTGAATCAGTTGGAATATACATGTAAAACAGCACACATTAGAGCAGTATATGCTCGTCTCAACTACCATATACAGAAGGAGGAACACTGAGTCCTGAAGAACTTCATTAATTTTAATCACGGCTAGACGAGAAATGTTTTAGTGGCAATCAGTTCTGTAGTATTAAAAAATGGATGATGAGTAAGAACTGGAACCTCAGGATAATTAAACATTTAAACATGTGTACTACCCCAATTCTATGATGTCTTGTTCAGTAACAAGTTGATTGATACGTTAATGTAAAACTGTTAAGTTATGCCTTGCCAGGTTAATGACATGATTACAGTTTGCTGGAGAGCACAATACAGAATGACCATAGCTTGTTCAACATAACCAAGGTCTGTGAAAAGACTGGACTAGGTACTCAATATGTCTAATTGTTTCCTCTGCAATGTAATTATTGGTTCTAACAATGTGATGTGAATGGCAGTATCATCCATTATAATAAATCTTTCCAAATTTAACCTATATATAGATACACAGCAAACCAAAATATCTTATACAATTACAGCCACCTAATCAAAACACCCTAGACCAAAATATTTACAGATTAAGATAGTTCTGCCACATTAAGCATGTGAACATGGCTTCTGCATTATTTTTGTAGAACTTGGTCCAAGTGAATTATCTTATTTATACTTCCAATGGAGGATTCTACTTTAGCAGTAATGGACCACTGTGATTTTGGGTTACTTCAGTGAAAAGCATATAATCAGTTGTGTAGTAGAGTTTTTTCCCATGTTTGAGTCATGCCTTCTTTTGCTTTATCAATATAACTCAACACTAGAGATATTCCTTTTTTTTTTCAAAATGTTAAAATTTCAAGCCTTTAATGTTTTTATAATCACACAATAAGAGAACTCTATGTCACAATTTATGTAAGCCCACCAAAAGAGGTCAATTTCAGACATCATCTGCACCACTTCCAAATCACTACCTTTCAAATGAATAACAATGAGAGAGTAAGAGCTTTAGCCTGTGTAGTCACAGGCCAAGTGGATGGCCAGAGGTTAGGTGATAGAAAATGCAAATTTCTAACATATATCTCGAACAAACATCTGTACTTTTATATTAACATTACTTTTACAGTTGTGTAATAAACTACAAAGAAGATTTTGTATCTAATGAGTCATTAAATTTACAATAGTTCATTAAAGCTGAAAACAATAAGATAAACTTTGAAAAAAATTTACTAAATTAACCATCTGCTAAAAATAAAGGAAAAACAAAGAAAACATTAACATAAAAATCCAGTCTATAGCCAGTAAATTTAAAAATTAAAATATAAAGTAGTTGAAAAGGGATTCAAAAACATATGATAACTCCATCAGACTTTTCTAAAACATATACTGGACATAATCTTAATTTTTATAAACTTTTATCATCTTGCATACTGCAAATATTCTTCAGTTAAGTTAAAGGTACAAAATTAAATGTTTTGTTTTAATTGAGAAAAATCCCAAGGGAAAATAAATGTATATATTTATATACACACAAATAACACATACATATTAATGACCATATTACAGGCTTAAGCACCTAAAAAGATTCAGAAAACAACCTATTACTTCAAATAAAATAACAGTCTAGTTGAGCAAGTATTTTGCCATTGGGGCTTCATTAGGGCTATGTTAATACATACACACACACACACATATATATATATATATATAGCTTTGGGGTAATTCAATCATATTAACTTAATTTGTACAAAAAAAAACCTCCAGAAACTATGAATGTAAGTCTTCAAGTAATAGAAAAAACTTTTTTACAAAACATGTATGAACATCATCACATCATACATTAATCCAAAAGTCTGAATGTATTCACAAGGCTATCAAATACAATGCCATGGCCTGAAACTATATATTTCTCAGGGTGGGTGCTGGCAAGCAAATAACTTAATGGTCTATATTGTAAAGAAATGCAAGAAGTTCAACATTTTTCATTTATTCATGGTATTTACTATTTTTAAAATAATACTGAGTTGTCTGCTGCTTTTTGATGCAAGATTCTCAAGCATGTTTTGAATTGTTATGGAAAGTTTTCTGGCTATTTTTGTGATATAGTAGACAAGTCTTTGATACTGTAGCTGCAGAAAAAATATGCGAGCCTTGTAAATTGAACATTAAAACTTAAACTAGCATTCAGCTTGATGGCACATGTGAAATGCAAGGCACCACAAATAATGTTGTGAGGGCGTATATATATGTATATATAGTTTGATGTCTCAACTTTGGTGGTGCCATATACAAGGCAACAGGCAGAAAGAACTGTAAAATAAATAGCTGACACTTGAGAAACCTGTTTATATTTGAAAGTAAAGCCAATGTTAAAGCAAACATAACTTTAATAAATGTAGTACAACTGATGTTGATTGTCCTCAAAATTAACATTTTTGTGAGATGTCACAGTTTTGAGTGGAGAAATTGTAAAGAAACATTGATAATTTTTGTGAAAAATCAACAACACTTAAACAAAAAATATTCATGGAGTTTTGGGATGATACATTTTAAATGTATTTTCAACTTTCAATTGAAAGTGATTTGATGAAGCACCATTTTATTCATGTTTTAGGATATAATTTGTCTATGAATCGCTCCCTTTAAGCAAAGTTAAAACAGCAGTATGTTTTTACTTTTTTATCTTCACTAACATAGTCAACTGCTTCTTTTTTAGTTGAAAGATTCATTTATATATATATATTTATGTATTTTTAATCATCATTCAAAACTGAAAAGCAATAATCAGACATATTTCATCCATACATAATATTATATACATGTACAACTACTAACTAACTAACTTGTCAGTAATTTAGGTTATTATAACTAACAAGTCCCTTCGGGGCTTTTTGGACAACAACTATTGTTATAAGAAAAGGTTAAACCTAAAAACTTAATGTTGTTAAAGAATTTGACTGTTATATTATTTAGTTGTAACTTAAAATTTCTAAATTTTTTCCTGAACTTGTTTATTTTCTTGTGAAACGAGACAGCTTGTGTTTTGGTGGGATTGAGGGTGACACGCCATTTGTTACACCATTTTGATACAGTTTTGACAGTGACTTGAAGCCTGGAAATTACTGTATGAACATAGAATGAAAAACAATAGCATTTTGCATGCTGTTCATAAAACAATTTACCATTCCATCCTGTCATATAGATTAGAATTACTTAAAAGAACCTAATTTGTATGTAGGCCTATCTGATCAGTTAGTATGTTTCCTTGTATATTAATCCCGGAAAATACACAATGTGGAAACTATTATGTTGATAAGGAAATTCAGTAATCAATGCACTTTTTGGGTCTTATTCCCATCTAATTTTTCAAAAAAGAAATATATATAGCTAACTGCATGGGTGACAAAGATATAGAAATTAAAGAACAGGTTAAACTATTGCCAAGTTTTTTATATTTTTATTTTAAGAGGATGATGTTTTGAACTAGAGCTCTTCATCAGGTCGTACAGCTTACTTCATCCAACATATTTCCTAAGCACAATATATATATCATTTCATCCTGTAAGTGAATCATCTTATGCTGCACATGCTGTAAATGATAAACTAAGACTGATAACCTTGTGAAATAGCGCATCAAGAGTAACTCAAAGGAGCAGTGTTATCAGAGGTTTCTAATCATCATAAAAAATATTTAGTGTAATTCTTTCAACTCAGTCATATTTTCCAATTACATATGCTAAATTACTCATAAATAAAACTCAACTATGAGCTTAAAATGAAGCATATACTTTTGAAAATACTTTTTCTGTAAAGTTTATCCCACTTGTGAGAGGGTTTAAAATCTTGAATCAGAAGTGGAATGTCTCAAGTATGTAATGCAAAACTAAAAATAATAACAGAATCTGCATAAAAATTAATATTCAAAATTATCTTATTATAAAACTTTGCCTTGTTTTAAGAACTGTATGAAAGCTATGGCAGATCTTGGAGAATTATGTGATTACTATACTAATTTAGTTTTCATTATCTGACTTAAAGATAAGTATTATCTAACCATATTTGGGTACCATTTTTTATATTGGTAAGTAATACATATTTCAACACTAATATATTATGCTGCATCTGGCAGAAAGCATTAAGATACTTTACAAAACCAAAATGTGTACATGCTGTACATGTTTGGTTTATTGCCAGGTACCTTTCACGTAAACTTGTATGCATTCTCTTATAATTTAGTTGGATATATGTATAAAACCATGGATTATATTTTACGATTAATAGAATAAAAATTGTGTGCAGTTTTCTTTTTATATCAGTAACTGAAAACAATTTTTTGCTCTCCCTTAAAAGGATTTGCATTTAATACATCACAATTTAGCCTTTTCAAATGTCAAATGCATAGGATTCAAAGCCAAAAAACTTTTACAATGAGAATTCTTTTTTACACAAGTATTTGTTCATAAATAAGGATTTTTCAAAACATATTCTCATGATTTTTAACTTATGATAATGAAATAAGAATATTCCAAACAGTGCACCAAAACAAGAAACTAATCAATGTAATTCTTCTTACAAAAATATATTTTTGAAACAAATATTCTGAAATAAAATAATAAAAAGTTATTTTAAACTAAGACTTTAAGTCTTAAATAATTTGCAATGAATAACACCCCAAACTATGTTTTTATTATTTAATTACAAAACTATTCTGATTTAGTAGTAGACCTACATCTTCAGAAAGCTCTATAACCAGTAACCTATATTCAGCTAGACTGAGAGCAGGGAAGTATTGCAGCAAGGTATAATGGTATTGGCTGCTGAAACCCTTCTAACTAAGCCACTGACAGTGATTGCTGTGCAAAATCACATCTGGTGTTGTCCTTGTAGCAGTACATCCAGAGTATTGCTTCTGCATTGCAGCCTTTTTAATGGTACAATTTCATCAACAGAATCTATTGTTACAAACACAATCCCATGTTGTTCTTCCACTGCTAGTAACAGAATAACAGTATTCTGTTCTATCTATGCTTATTTAACAGCTTAGTTTTCATGTATGGAATCATATAGTGCCATTTTCAGTTAACAGTAGAATGCATTCCCTCCCCAATTTTCCCTTAAGCATGCAAAGTAATTTGCCTGTATGTGATATAGTTCATCCTATAGATTGTTCCAAATACCCACACTAACTTTACAACCAACTGTAGGATATTGTTATAACATATCTATAACTAATGCTGTACGTTTATAAAAATAATTCTATTTTCTAAACTATCTTTATGACACACAATGAAATGCTTTTCCAGGATGTATACTCAATATTCAGTAATACTTTTTTTTCATTTGTAATGTAAACTATACATTTGCATGTGTGGCATCCAAATAATGCCATTTCCAGAAAACAGTAAAATGCACCTCCCCACCCCATTTATCCTTATCCATGTATACAAGGTATTTTTCCTGTATGTTATACAATTAACCCTAGATTAGTAAACTGACAAACAGTGATTTATAAGCATAATGAAAATTATTTTAAGTAGAGAACATAAAATATACTGTATATTTCAACAGAACATTAGTATGTCTTCTTTCGAGGAAGACAGGCTAATGTTCTGTTGAAACATGTAGTATGTTCTCTACATAAAATAATTTACATTATGTTTATAAATCACTGTTTGTCAATTTACTATTGTATTAACATAATGTGGTTCCATCCACCAGTTACCCTATATTGTTTCAACTACCAGAAGGGTTATTTAAAGTACCCATACTAACTTTATAACCATACCATACAATATTTTTACGACTTACTTTAATCAATCTATCACTATTTTTCTAGATAACATCTATATTTTAGAATCTAGCTTTATAACACACCATGCAATGCTTTTATATGGTGCATACTCAGGAACCAATAAAATTTTTGCTGTCCTAAATATAAACTATACATTTCTAAAATAACTTTACAAACTACTTCTATTACTTTGGATGGAATATATGTATTTTCATTGTCTTCAGGAAATATTGATAAACATGCCGTATTTTAATGAACAGCACAAGAAGCTCTGAAAACTTAACAGCCATCATCACACTGACCTTGTTTTTGTAGAAGTGCCATGAAAGTTCTTCCTTTAGAATCCAAGTACCCGAAGAAGGAAAGAGTTGACGGTGGAGTTTTGGTTGTCGAACAAAATGTTTTCCTCCATACTTTCTGAGAAAATGATATTTAAGAATCTTTTCTCTTTCAGCAAGGTCCTGAATTATCTAAAATAAATTTTTATAACCTGATGATTAGTGATAGTTAAAAATCCACAGAAACCCATGTATTTTAAGTAAAGGCTGTCAGCAGTGAATGATAAAACTCACTTGTACAGGAACCTACTGTATTAGAAGATATAAAGAAATAGTAAATGTGGAGTTTTCACACTTCAGCTTTCCCCTAGATTTGAATTCATTTACTTTTCTCACTGTAGTCTCAATAGCTATAAACTATTTCATTGAAAATTATAACTATTACCTTATGTGGTTTTACTCTTACTTCAGAAATGGCTGCCTGAAAAATACTTATTTTTTCAAAATGAAAGTAACATTTAAATAAAGCTTTCAGGTGAAATTGTAAAGTAACAGCATAAAAGTCAATATCAGAATAAGTATTCAAGTAGTATCTTTATTGATATGCATGAAAAATATTAATCATTTAACACTAATTCCAAGTCAATGGTGTCAAAAGAAACAAAATGGCAGATATTTACGTTGTGTCCAGAGAAAGTACTGTTGTGTAAATAACAAAAAAAATTCTGGTATAAGCAAATAAGGTTAATTTTAGAGAATTTCTTGTATATTGTGATTCTATATGAATATTTTGACTTTTGCAATATAATTTTTGAAAAAGAAAACTGAATCTACTACTGAAAAAAGTACATGAAATTCTGGAATTAAAATTTTTACTATAATGCAAAATGCATGAAGTTAAATTTCCTACAAATGAGGTATATTGTTCTCTTTCTGGGAACCATGTTGCATTTTACTCAGTTATCTCTCCAAATGCAAACTTTCTTTCAATGATTGTTTGTAATTTGGAAAATAGCTAATAAGTTACCAGTTAGAATAGTTTTGATATGGTATGTGAAGTTGAAGTAACTGAAACAACTGGTTTTACTTAGCTCCACCTCTTCCAAAAACAAGACCACAGTTACCAGAGAACCTGATATAGTTGAAGAAGCCCAGCAACAAGGAGCTTAGTGATATGTTGACAGTTTCCTAATATGGTTTTCAGACCAGTAAGATGTCTGAACAGGACAAACTTAACTTGCTATCATAAACACACAAATGATGCACACCTTTTACACAGCGTATTTGCATGTTTCCTTTGAACACAAGAAATGATGACAGCAGTGAAATATAGCAGACATTGAAGAATGAAGTAATACAACTATTACTTAACTCTCTCAACATGGGCTCAGTCAAGTTGACCAACCACGCAACCTCTTTGTACTCATTTAATGTCTTTATAGATTTAATACTTCTAGCTTTCAATATAGTGTTTATATATTCACAAAATTTGGCAGTCTTTCAGTTTATAAGTCTTTCACATACAAAAAATCATATTTTTTAATTGAAGTATTTTTAATAAAAAAAAAATAAAGATCTGTCCAAGAATATATTGGCTATTTGTTTTGAATATTCCATGTGCAGCAAAGTAATTTTCATGTTAAAATTAAAAATACTTTTCCTCATTTCAAAAATCTCAAATCTCCTTTGTGTAATCCCTAAAACCTTCTAAATGCATTTAAAAGTTTTTTTTTCAGTAAAACTTCAAAGTTTATCTGTTATTTTCTCTACCCTATCTCAAAATGGGATCAGTCAATTTGATCAACCTTGTAACCACCAAAAAAAATCCAAATAAACCTAAATTATCCTTTTTTTCTTTCTAGAATGACTTCAAATTGTACATGAAACTACATTCGTTTATCCTAAGTAGCTCTAAGTTCATAACATTATACATCTATTTATAATTAGATGTTATTGTTTTATTGCCATTTGAACCATGTCTAACTACTATCTGTGCCATTATAAGTTGTAAATCACTCAGAAAACGTGCAGCTTACATTACGCTAATGAATTACATTACCCATGAGCTGCTTGCGTGTGTGCCTCGTGAAACATTTTATTATAATACTATTATTATTTCTTTTACCTAATCTAATCTTAACAAACTGAAAAGGATCCCTATTTTTACATTCAGTTACTTTTATAATTTTACATAAAGAATAAACATGAAAAACAAGAAATAAAATAATTAACCAATCTTCTTTTTTCTTGCTGTTGGGTTTTGAAGAGAGTTAACCCTAATTTTTTATACTATAGATACTTATGCACTTAATAATTTTTATTTAATTAAATAATGCACCAAAGAATATAGACTAATAACATGCAAAAAGTAGGCAAATTCAGTTACCTCTCAAAATGTTCCTGGCTTTCTAACTATGCAACAAGAGCCGTTACAAATTCATCCAATCTTGTTGTTAACTTTCCCAATGGAACGATGTTGGTATTCTGAGTGAAACTGACATCTAATTGTTCAGAACATAACATTATACAATACATCGTTTGATAGATTAAAACCTTGACTTTCTATTAGTTATATGTAATATATAATGAAATATAAGAGAGAACTATCAACAAATTCTGAAAGAGAGGACGTGACAGGTGGGTGTGGCAGGAGGGGTCTGATTTTCTATTCGATAGCTCTGTAACCAAGCAAAATTGAAGGTTATAAAAATTAGGGTTTGTCTGAGCAATAACGATATATAAAGTAATTTATGTTTAATTTCATACTTTTTTGTCATGTGTGTTACACTAGTGGTAATTCAGGATTTTTTTAATATTGCCTTGCAGAATTAAAAACTTAAAACTTGTACACTATTAAAATATGGATTATTATCTAAGATTTTATGCAATTCTAACTGGTATAACATAAACAAAAAGTAGTTTAATAAAGTTTTGAATGTAAGACACTAAAACCTTTTGTCATGTGCAGTAAAGGATACCCGTGATGATAGGTTTAATCATCTCCAGTAGTGAGTATATGACAGAAGAAAGGGCTGACAAGTTTCTGTGTGGATTACAAGTTGGTGAGCAAGCATGGTGACAAGAGGTTGATGTATCTCCAAAGAGGAGTGGAACACAGTAAAAAGGAAAACAAATTATGATATAGCATGAGATATGAGAGAACTAAGTTAATAAATAGTAAAAATAGAAGAGAACTTTCAGTGAGTGAGGGAAGATGTGCTCAGCTGCTTTGAAAGGTTCACTCTCCTCAGCTATAAGTCTCTGGTGTAAATAATTTATTGTAAAAGGGTATAATGATGATCAAGGAGTTCCCTGTAATACTAAATAATGCTATTAAAATAAAAAATGTGATGACAAAAGACTATTTTCCATGATGTAAAAATTAAAATGTATTAAATAAGTAACTAAGTGTATTAGTTATTTTTCATATTATGTGTATAAAGCTCCAAGATTACCATCACAGATACAGATTTGCTCATTTTAGCAGTGCACTAACCCAGATGAACAGCAACAATATTAGAATAAAGTAACTCGAAATGCCTGGCTTATCAGCAAACAATATAGAATAAAGTAACTCGAAATGCCTGGCTTATCAGCAAACAATATAGAATAAAGTAACTCGAAATGCCTGGCTTATCAGCAAACAATATAGAATAAAGTAACTCGAAATGCCTGGCTTATCAGCAAACAATATAGAATAAAGTAACTCGAAATGCCTGGCTTATCAGCAAACAATATAGAATAAATTAACTCAAAAATGCCTGGCTTATCAGCAAACAATATAGAATAAATTAACTCAAAAATGCCTGGCTTATCAGCAAACAATATAGAATAAAATAATTCCAAAATGTCTGGTTTATCATAATTATCACACAACAAAACAACTAGTCCATTATTAGTCTCCAAAGAAATAGAACACTTTAATTCTTTGTGCACAGGTGGTGTCAAAATGTGCATGTCCTGACTTTTTACAGTTGCATTCAAAATTTAAAGCACTTTACTATCAATATATATATCAATGAACTTGGCATTAAATCATAGTTAATAAACCAAATTTTGATATTATATAAGATTTAATTTTAATTCAAAAGGAAATGGTAAAAAGAATTACTCACTCTTTTATGTTACATGACACATTCATGCTATAAATTGTTCAATTTACATTTCATTAGTTCTATCATACAAAGTCAACAATGCTTAACAAATCAAATTCAAACTTCCAATATTGACAAGCTAGAACATAAAATAAGAGCCTCCCACCTTCCTGATCTCTTGAGATAAAAATATATTTAGTAAACCTACCAAAGAAGCCCTTCCCATCTCTTTATTGTTTAAAAGTGGCTTATTTACTCATGTCTACCTGTTCTAAGTACATGTTCATTTACAGATAAAATACATACAATGTTACCAAAAAAAACTTTTTGATATACATTTTCATATGTTATGGAAATGATGCATTAAAACTTTAAAATGAAAATAAGTATTTTTTATTCCTATCATGATATTCAACTTTCACGCAGACTGACTCAGTAAATTCTCGGGTGAATCTTTAGTAGGAATACTTTATTAAAACATTTGATTTTTGTTGTACAACATACATTTAACATTTACTAAATGATTACCAAAGTTTGTGAAGATATAGAAAGTAAACTCATAATTACAGTAATTGTTATCGAGCCCATGTACATAGGATTAAAAATTTTTTTAAATAAATAGTATTAGAGAAGAAAAAAATATTTATATCATTAACCTTAGATATGAAACCAGCAAATCACTATAATGACTATACTAATATTAGAAAAATTAACTTAGCACACAAACATAGCTGCCTTCACTATCTGTGAGTTGATATTCATTTAGAAGTTCTAGAGATTATGCAAGTGAAATGTGAAACTGTAAGACAAAAGATAGTATTTTTTATACTGTCAAGGTTTAAGTGTGTGTGGGCAGGATTCATTGCAGTAGGTGTCTGTGACTTGTTGGCAATAAATTTCAACAAAAAAAAACAACCAAAGCATCTCTTCTCCCTTTTTTTTCTGTTAACATCTTACCACCTTTGATGACATCCTGTTTCCAGTCAGCCACCCCTGGTTTCAACTTTAACTGGTTATTCCTGGTCTTATGAGTTATACTCCCTTCATGGGTTTCCATATACTGTTCCAACAGCTTGATCATCTTGTTCACATCCTTTGGTGTTCTCTTTATTAGGAACAGTGACATGCCAGTGGAGCATGTGATCATGAACTGTTTATGTACAAGTATATCTTCCAGTCTTTCAAAACTGTCTTCACATTTGGCCATGTCAGTCTACCTTGTAAAGTATTGCTGTAGATGTGCCACAAACTGAAATACAGTTTCTTCAGTGTCAGGTCTGATCCCCCTGAACTTCCAGCAAAAACGCATCTTCAGTAAGTTCATAGCATTCCAGGAAGGCCAATTTTAATTTGTCATATTCCATGACATCTTCTGGTGGCATGCCACCATACACTTATAGGTTTTTTCCTATGAGAAGGGGGCTGAGACAGACTGCCCAATAACCTTTATCCCTGACTTTGGACAAATATTCCATACCTCTCCAGGAAAGCATCCATGTTATATTTCTGTTCATCAAATTTGGGCAGCTTAGGTCAGCTGGCCATGACCCCATTGTCATTCTTGGGTTCTTCTTCTTTCTGTTGGGTGAGCTTGATGATCTCAATTTCTGCTCTTATTCTTTATATTTCCAGTCTCTTCTTTCTGCCTTTATCTTTATTCCTCTCTTCCCTGTTGATGCTCTTTGTTTAACAAACTCTCGTAAATCACCATCTTGGAGCCCAAGTCACTCACTTTTCTCTATCCATTTATAAAAGTCAGTTGACATGGTTATGCAGTGTAGTTGTGACCTACACAATATTTTCATCACCACTATAGCTGTGCATATGTAGACCTATTTCTGATGTTGTTCACATTTTCTTTGACTGCTGTTTACTACTGTATAATCCTGACTGGCTTGCCAAATGTCAAGTTTTTACTTATGTGTTTGTGTTCCGGATTCTATACAATAAGTGTCCATGACTGCAATAAATTTCAACAATAAACAAACATCACACAGTCCACTTGTTTTAAAATAATATATTCAAACAAGTCAAAGATATATACAAATGTTTGATACACAGTTAATCACCACTGTTGTATCCAGAACTTTAACTAATTGTCTCCTTTCAAATTCCACACATGCTGGTTCAGTTACTTTAGAACACAATGGACAAAATGAGTTATTCTCCTCTGCTCTGTTATTACAATACAACTGGTGATAAGTTCACTTTATACTCACTGATATACACTCTTTATGGCTAAACATGTAGTCTAGATCTATTTGACTATATCTTTTACTAACTTTGTATTAACTAATTTAACTTTGTATATAACTAACTTGAACTATATTTTGAATGTGTATTTATAAATAGTCTGACTAAGGCTTAGAACTTTCTACACACGAGATATGATGTAATAATACTCAATCAAAACAATGAGAAAAAAGTTAGAAGGTTCTGGTAACATGATTCAATAATACAACATGTACCAATTCACAACAATTGAACTACACACATGATTTGAACAGTTATGTAAACAAACCTGCAATATACTATCACTTGTAAAAAAAACTAATTTAATGCTTGCACTATACTTAAATTAAAACACTTGTGTACATATAACATATACTTAACATGAAAATCACCTTGCAGATGAACTATTCAGAGTCCAAATGTAACTAATTATATTAAATAATGAATTTTTAGTAGAACTAGTACAAAAAATGTAATTTAAATATTTTATTTATTCTGAAACTACATACTTTTAGCCGTTGGTAGTTGTTATTAAGCACAAAGGTACATATAAGGTTATCTGTGCTCTGCCCACCATGGTTATCAAAACCCAGTTTTGAGCAGTATAATATACTTTTAGGAAGGTTCTTGTCAAGTTTCAAACAAATTCATCTACTAGTTTCATTTTTGTAAAGAAATTTCATGAAAGTTATGTAACCTACTTACAAAGTAGTGTAGGGTTAATGCTTAATACAAAATAACTTGAAATATTAAGTTGTTCTTATAATAACTTCTTAATAATATGCAACTAAACAATTTGCTAACATAGTTTTTGTAAAGATCTTCTGTCTAATGTTGCCTAATGCTATAAAATTACAAGAGCAATAATAAATCAGTAACAAATTGGTAAGAAAAGAAAAAAAAAGGAATCCAAGAATGAACCAAGTTGCTATGATTAACAAATAATCTTGGCCAAATATAGAGAAATGTCTCTAAAAACATTCCGTCAGTAATGTTTGCAAAATAGAAATACCTTTACGTGTACATCTAACAATTTCTATATCCTATTATGAAAAATTCAATAAATGTACCTATTCCTATTCAGATTAAATTCAAAAACCCAAATTAGCAGAAAATTCATAGTGTGTCTGTAGGTCTGAGATCAAGATGGAGATAAGTATGATTATGTTCATATTTTCAAGCAAAACTTTGAAATAACTTGATAAGAATTCTAAGCAAGATAAATATGACAATTATCAATAACTGATCCAAGATATGGGATTAATAGGCTTCAAAGAACACTACAATTGTGTCAGTAAATGTTGCGTATTTGTTTTACCATACTTAGAATTTATTACATTACAATTAATTTCAGTCATTTGATAACTCTTTAAATAGTCTAGTTTTGGTACAAACTGTATTACATACCTTTCTAACAATCCTTGGCAAAAATGTTTACTATCACACACAAATATGCTTCAAGCAACAACCATCATAAAATAATTAATGTTTTCTGCAACATCCAATTTGTATTCTCAGTTTTATATTTAGTCTTATCCTCAATTCAAAGATTTTTTATTTTATCTTACAGGTTACAAAAATAAGCTCAGTTGATCTCACTGTTTAAAGTTGATAGTAAGCCATATTTAAGTGTGACAGAACTAATATAATGAACATTTTTTTTACATTCCCTAATAGATAAAATTATCAACTATTGTACGCATGCAAGTTACTTACAGTATGTGACTTGGGATCAACAACATCAAATAAAGCCCGAACTGTTGTCATTACTAGCTGTTTGCACCTGAAAAAACACAAATTTGTGGTACTTAATTTCAAAATTACTTGCTTACAGATACGTGAGATGGATAAACAGTGAGTAAACATTTGTGACAATTAATAAATTATAAGGTTTTAGCTAGGTTTCAAAATCAGGATAATTAAGTAAACATCCTTTCTAGAAGCTCTGAAAACATGTCATTGGGAAACACTACAAGGAATGTGACCTACTACACCATGATAATATTTAACTTGTAAAGACATTATGAAAGAAGTATGATGTAGTCTACTTACAATAGGTTAAATGAGTAATTATACAATGCATACACATAATAGAAAAACAAGTCCAGGTTTTCTTTTAATCAGGCAGTTACCAGGATATGTACTGATAAAAGATTTTAAGTACTACTAATCATTCATTTAAAAAAAACTCATTGATTAAGTTTTACTAGCTGATGTACCCATTCAACGCATGGGGAAGACGGGGAGGGGGGAGGTTAACCAATTTGCATGTCTTTTAACACCAATTTGTCTTTTTTTTTTTTTTCAGAAGCTTCATTTGACTGTCTATAGTTTTCCTTCTGCTTCAGTTATCCTAATTTTTGCTAAGCTTTTTTTGATTTTATCATGCCATCCATCTACTTTTTCTTTTTCTTGCTAAGCAACATTTCCTTTCTTGTACTATTTCTAGATTTATTCAAAATTTTAGTTTAGAACATTTTTCATAGATGGTGTTAGAAGAGTTCAATTGAAAAGCTAAGGTGGCTTGATTGTGTCTTTTACTTAAAATGTTAACCAAAATCTCAAATCCCTGATTTAACCTACATTGGTATTATAATAACTTGCTGTGAATATGGTTATTTTGTTTTTTTAAATTCACATAAAATCTTGACTTGAATGGGATTTGAACACAAGTCTTCCACATGAGAGTCAATCACTATAACCACTGAAACCACTTTGACATCCAGTATTTGAAATCCAATTAATCTAAAATATAGTATTTGTGTTTTTGGAATACTGAAAGAACTTACTCTAAACATAATCACTTACTTAAAAACAAATTATGGAAAATCCCAACTGTACTGCTATTTAAACATAAGATTTCTGTTTGAGGTTTGGGCTCTCTAACCACTGGCAATTTGAGCATTACAAACAGTCCATGGCCCTTATATAAATATATATTAGTATCAGTTGCAGTATCGTACTATTATAATGTATTTTAAAAATAATGTGAAAAATTTGAACTTGCTGCCCTTATCTGAATCTCTTCTAAGAATATACCGAGTTAAAAAAACATTTACTGATTATCTAAACAATGTTGATACTTCTAAGTCTATTCAGTTTACATACAAGATTGAACAAGATAATTGTTTGCCTTCAGTCTCTATGCCACCACATCAAAGATGGGTCATGGGAGAAGTTCCATTGGTCAATAACCATCCACTGAAAGGTATGCACGTGCACCTCACTCAAGGAAATGAGAGTTTCCAAGGAAGCCCATGACCCCAAAAGAGAGAGAGAACCTCTTGCACAGTGAGAGAAGGCAAATGTACTACTTTCATGATTGCCTGCTCTCTATCCCAGTGAGTGAAGATGATGAGCAAATGAGGGAAACACTCAAAAGAACATATAAGGAGCTGCAGCCAGACTATACAGTAGTGGATGGATCTGAAAGACACAGCCCTCGTGGGGGAACTTAAGAAAACAATGTGACCCTGGGGTTATGGAAATATGAAAATAGACGTGTTACATCAAACTTGGTCATCCAGAGTTCTGGGGAAAAACCCACTGAAAGGAGAGTTAGGAGGATTCCATGGTGAACTGGGGTGTCTCCAAAAAGGTATTCAGCTGGGACAGATCTATGATGGGTCTCCAACCTCCCATCTTTTTTTTTGGGGGAGAACAAAGAGATGGGAGTAAAATCCCAGATGAGTGGGTGCAACTTGTTCAACAGTTTCTTTGTGTAAGAAGTCTGAACCGACTTGGCGAGGCACAATCTTGAGGATGAAAGGAAACCAGGGAAGAGGATTGAGGGTAGGGAACCTGAACTGAAGACAAAGACTCTTCACAGAACCCATGGATCCATCATGAAAATTTGCCGTACAGTTCAAAACTGTTGCAGCCTGACCCCCACCTGCCCTTGAAGATACATCCCAGCTCCTATACTACTGAGCCCTGACAGAACAGGAAAAACTAGAGTAAGGGCGTGAACAGCAGGATGAGACAAACAAGATGCTACCTAGGACAAAGAGGAATGTAGCCTTGCCACATCAACCCTAGACTCTAAAGACTTAGGACAACTCCCAAAAACATTTTCATGCAGAAATGGAGCCTAATAAAGATCCCTCAAGGAAGGAAGGGGAGATAACCCCCTTATGTAATGCATCTCTCCCCAGTATATCCCAACAACATAATAACAGGTGTTGAAAGACAGTGTAGATGCCAATAAACAGTTCATCAGAAAATTGATCAGGTGACTGCCGAAAGGCTTGAGACAACAAATGTGATGAGAAAATAATATGAAAGAGGGTAGTAAGGGCCAAATGAATCCTAGAAAACAGAGATTGATCAAGTGGATCAAAGCCCCCAGATTCAAGCCCCATTGTGGGAGGAGAGGATCCAGATGTTAGGAATCCAAAATGGGATTCAAAGCTTGCCAGTAAGCTAAAGAAGATTAGTCCATCAACTGGGGGGTACAGAGCATACCTGAATCCCTTGAGCATGAACTCAGATGTCAGGTGAGAGAGGAAAACATAATAATCAGAACAAGGTTCTTCACCCAACAAGGTAAGAGATGAATCAAGGACTAATGGTGAAACATTCAAAATTTGACACACCTGATCAATATGGTGTAATAACTGTGATCGACAAACTCTCCTGACTGTCAGCATTATGTATCACACCAAAAAAGGCTGAGGCCAGAAAAATACAGTCCAAATTATCTTCACCCTGAATAAATTCTTCCTCAGAACCTTGTCCAGGGAGAAAGAACCAACTGCCAAGCAAAAGTGTCCAATTCCATGCAAATTAAGACTTGAACTTCCTTGGTAGATATCATCAACCTACCTTGCTGGGGACTAGTGACATTACTATCTTTAATATTGGTAGAAATTTTGTCATCTGCCACCAAAAAATTTGAATTAATCTTATGGAAGAATTCTTCGAAAACCAAAAAAATCCGAAAGCAAATGCTTTAAATTGGTGAAGGACTGAAATGCAATAACAAAAAAAACAACAAAAAAACAAGCACATGGAGTAAAGTAAACATTCATCAATACACCGTAATGCCAATTGAGAAAGTGATGATTGTGCTAGAATAGTAGAGAGAGCTACCTGTGCTAGTATAGGTGGCACAGTATGATTGGTAGAGAGTAGTCACATGATATGCACATGTTCTGAAATGGTGCACAAATAAAGGGGTATAATAGACTGGTGCTCTATTAGCAAAAAATTTGTTAGCAATGCTTAGAGCAAATCAAGGTTGAGGTAACTTTGAGTGAGAGCAGCGAGTACCATTTCGGAATTTTATTCCTATTTTCAAACAATTTAACAAAATTAAAACAACAATTCATAGCACTAAAGATAAAAAGGTAGATTTTAAATAAAAAAGGTTCATATCAAATTAGGTGTGAATGCAACTAAAAATATATTGATCAAATTAAACATAATTTGAAATATTGTCTTAATAAACATAAAGGTTATGTACGTATCAAAAATATGCTAATTTCTCCACTTGCTGAATACACTGTTGAAACAGGTCATTCAATACAATGGCAGGAAACAATAATTTTAGCTAGAATCCCACATTAAAGTGGTGGAGGAGCTGGTGGAAATTTTACATAGATGAGCTCCCTTCAGAAAGTGCCATAAGAAAGCCCACAGAGTGTGACAACCAATGGCAGAGGTTCCATAGGGAAACACCCGTGGGAAACTGCATCTTGTCTTGTCCAGGGTATACTCTTTACCCAAATGGTAAGGAAGAGGCAAAAAACCTGTATCACAGGGACAGACAAAATAAGAAATGACCATCCAAGTACTTGCACACAAATGGTTAGAGAGCCAATATGTATAGTGTGGTTGGAGTATGAACAGACTGTACCTTGTGTGTTTACCTCAATTTGACTGTCAGACTCTATAGGACAGACTCCAGCTGCAGAAGGAGGGCACAGTATTCATGCTAAAGGGATTCGGATATAATGTATACATCTTGATTCAACTAGACAAACAGAAAATGCAGGAAGGGGGTACAACACATAGGTATCATGGTTATCTACAGTGAGTGCTCACCTCAGATCTAGTGCAGGAGAGAACACGGATGTAGAATGTGTGCTTGCCTCAACTCTACTGGACAGACACTGGTTGCAGGAGGAGGGCACAATACATATGTTGGATGGTTACATACAGTAAGTGCTCATCTCAACTCTGTCTACAGGAGGAGAGCATGGTTGTAGAATTTGTGCTCACCTCAATTCTACTGAACAGGCATTGGGTGCAGGAGGGCACAGTATCGTATTGAGTACTCACATGAACTCTGCTGAACAGACTCTGGCTGGAGGAGGAGGGCACAACATCATAGTGCATGCTCACCTCAACTCAACTGAACAGGCTCAGGCTGCAGGAGAAGGGCACAAGTGATATGAGTTACGTATATGAGGGGTGACCTACACTACACTGATAGTGTCACCACCACCCCACTTCCCATCATAGTGGTACTCAATAGTATATTACCACAGTGTAATCACAGTCCAATCAGTGAGGGCTTTCCATGATTCACCATCCCAGTGACCAGGAACTGGTAAGTAGCAAGATTCTCCTGTGCTCAGCTTGATCAAAAAAGGGGAGAATTTACAGTGGGGACACCCAGATCTCCACTAGTCCTTCAGTCCATAATGGTCTTTTACTGGAGACAATACAATGAGTGACTGCAAAACTCTGTTTTGAAAAAAACCAGCAAGTGCAAGTAAAAAAATATGAGAAGAACACTCCTCAGGAGATGGCTTTTTCTAGGAGAGTCCATAGAATAGG